TTCAGTTGCATATTACATTTGCATTTCAATACATTCTAGAGCTTTGTTGTGAAAAAACAAAAATATACTCTAAAATTCTCTGTTTTGAATTATTATGCTCTGCAGTAGCTCTAAACTGAATTTGTATTGGAATATACTCTGTTCTGTGTTGGCACCTATCTTTAGCAGATGTGAGATGAAATTTGGAAGTTATAAGAAACATCCACGCATGTACCTTACTACATTCACTTTCATATGTTAATTAGTATACAAAAAATTGTAAAATAATAGTTACTTTTATTATTTTATTTATTGTTCATGTTGAGCTATGAATTGAACTATATTATGGGGGACAAGGGTGACTTACTGAGTTTACTACTCACCTTATTATTTATAACATTTCAAGCAAAGGTAAGAGTTCCGCTGAGTTGGCTAAGTTTAATAGAAAATAGAAAGTCTAATTTTAAAAGGTACACATAATTTCATAGTTCATATGATTTTTTTTTTGTTGCGATCATTATAATCTGGACTAATGTGATCTAATTATTTTGAAAGAGATATTCGGTATATACTCTTTTGATGTGTATTCTTTATCGTTTAGAACAACTAGTTGGCTATGGTGAAATAATAAATTACAAAAGAATTAGCAAGTAAATAGGAAATTAGGTTTAAATTTCTCCTTTAGGTCCTATGGAGTTACGGCTCTCACCCCAAGTGATGGGTAGGGCGAGTACTCCTTCAATCTCCCTATGTTATCCTGAGAAACCATAGAGAGTATCTGAAGTAGGGGTGTGTTGAGAAGCAAGTGGGTTCATTCTTTTTAAATAATGTATTTATATTCACAAAAATCTACATATATATATATATATATACACGATCAATTTAATAGTTTGTGATTAGCATAGTGATGACGATGATGTTGTTGTGGGGGTTTCCCCTCCTGTGGGAAAGTTAACTTTCACAAATGTAATTAGGAGACATCTATAGTTAGAGCTCATAAAGTAGATATCGATTTGACAACCCTGATCTTCCTCTTCTTTGTCGGCGAGTTAACTCACTATCCTACCATAATTGCAAGCACAACTCCTGCAATGTGCACGGAATGAGTTAGGACGGGCATGTTGTCACCCCCCCCCCCTCCAAGGGATCTTTTATTTTAGCACTAATTAGGATCGGTGAGTACGAATTCCTTTAGTTTCCCAGGCTTTGATGAGCTCTTCTACTAAACCCTAGAGGTAGTGGCATTCTTCTATGTCATGATAATGGTTCATAAAGAAAGCATAGTACCTTAAAATATCCTAAGTGTGTGTGTCATAGGCAACGAATGCTTAAAAACTCCCTATTCTGGATGGCCTCTTCTAACTTGGCTATAAAAACTCTCAGCAAAGTGTAGATGGGATAAGCTGGTAGGCAATATGTGAGTTCTTCACAGTACGAGGGAGTGACACAAGTTGGCGCCTTTACTCTTGAAGCGAGTGAACCTGCAATCCTCAATGGTGAGGGGTGCCCTTTGAGGTTCTAAGCAATGGAAATCTCACAAAGAGTTTGGTCTTTTGTGCCTTATATCCCTAGGAAAAATTCATTCTCTTTTCGCCCTCACTATTGTTCACTTTTGAGCGCGAGCTCATGCGGACAAGTGGCTGAGGATGATTCAACTACCATGTCGTACTCTTCAGCATTTACATGGATATTAGCCAACTACTATATCTCGGTAAGAGTTCCTGGTTGTTGTAGGTCAAGATCATAGTATAATAGACCCTCTCTCAGTCCTTAGGTCAAGGTAACCTATGCAACTATAGGCTCAAAGTCCTTTACCTCGAGCTTTTCACTTTGGAACCTTACTATAAAGCTCCTCAGTGACTCTCATGGATCCTTCCTAATCTTCGTGGGCTTGTGAATTCTTCAATCGCATATGCGCATTGGTGAATTGTATTACAAACATTCTTTTAAAATTTGAAAAAGAAGTCATTACTCCCATCAGCAAACGAGTAAACCAACTCAATGTCGACTCCTTGAGGATTATAAAAAAGAGATGATATTTCTAGCATCTTTAATATCAAAGAGGGAGGTCAAGGATTCAAAGGTGGGGACATGGTCCATTGGGTCAGTCCTACCTCTGCATGACTCTAAGATACCTTGAACTTCTTGGGATACAGTCTAACTGCCACGACTCCCTTGAAAATATGTCGGCGAGTTCAGGTTCTATTTTCCTAACTCGCCCAGTCGGCAAGTTGTACTCCTCATCACTGGGCAAGGTGTGAGTGGGATCAAGTATCAGTATCAAGGCCAATGCTCTATTATTTGACTTCATACGATGAACTGCAAAGTCAAACAAAACCTCAAGAGTATTGTCCCTTCGTACTCACCCTTGGAATCTGCCCTGGGCATTTTGAGTCATCTTTATAATTCTTTCCTCTATCTCTGGCAGAATGCAACGAGTAGTGTGGTTTTGTTCTCTGTATTTATTGATGATTCTAAGGCACCTAACTCATTGAGGTGTGCCTGTTTTCACATCACTGGCATCAATCTACACTCACCATAACTAAGAAGATGTTATGTCCAAATTTGTCCATGGATGGCACACACTCTTACTAGTAGGCCAACCTGTAAGCATGCGGCCAGAAACTTGTACGAGAATGAAGAGGGAATGGGAAAATGCTAGAGAGAAGCTGTTGTGAATACATATATCGTTACAGGAAAAAAAAGATCGATGTATAATAAGATTCAAAAGATCTAAACAAAGGTGTCAAATGCTCCTCATTACCCCTTATTTATAAAATTCTATGAGCTACAAAAAAGACTACACCAAAAAAAAAATTATAATATTACAAAAATTATCCTGGACATGTGTTGCCTCTTACTTGGCTGAGGAAAAGCACAAGCAATAAAGCTCTATTGATCAATCACTGGGGAGGCTTAATAGTGTCGAGTATGCACTGGATGAGCTTGGTAGTGTCAAGTAAGAGTGGGCAAGTTCCAAAAAAGGGGTGTTTGATGATTGAGAATTGTCTGGGAGCCACCAATGACCTAGGCTGAGCTTTGGATCGGCTGGAAGATGAGGCAATCGGTCTAGGGCTATTGAGAAGACAAGCTCAGTGGTTGATCGGTCTCGGCAGGGCGAGTTGATGGTTCCTTGAACAAACACTTTCATATAGTTAAACTTGGATGCATGAGGTTGACGGCTCCCGCCCCTGATGGGGGCGAGTTACTGTGTTAACTATCTCCATTTCATGAGGCGAGTGGCGAGTTGTTTGGCTGGCGAGGTTCCTCGTTACCCATGAGAGGAGTGATCTACCTAAGCAGGCCCGAGCGAGTGAGGCCTAATGTCACTCGGCAGGGCGAGTTCCTCTGTATAACCCATCGGATGCAAGCCATTCCCTGGTATCTTGCCAATTACCTACTAAGTGCATGGGATGATATATACAAGTATACATGGGGCTAGTTGCTATATTGACTACCTCTATCTCATGAGGCGAGTGGCAAGTCGCTTGGTTGGGTAGGTTTCTCATTTCCCTTGAGAGGAGCGATCTCCTTTCGCAAGTTCGAGCGAGTGGAACTTGTGTAACTAGGGCGAGTTCCTTTGTGAGGCCATTAGATATGAGTCCTCCCCTGGTAAGTATCAATCTATGATGCACAGACATGGACACAACGACACAAATACGACACAACACGAACACAGAACACGTTAGTTATTGAAAATATAGGACATGAACACGAGTTGGACACGGTATTATAATTTTTATATTTTAAAATTTGTGTAGAAAAATTGAATAAATATAATATTAAAACTAATTTAGGAATAATAAGTCATTTAATGAGAATTTAAGCTTAAAATAATTAATAATAGGATGTCGAGAGTTGGGCATTAATGTCATGTATCAATTATCGACAGATGAGACGACAATGCTGTTGAAAGTCAGACATCGATGTTATGTATTAAAAGTATTGGGGGGCATCGATGTCAAGAGGGCGTCTTTCATCAATGTTGAGAGGGGGTTGGCCGTCGATATTAAAACAACGTCAGATAAAGATGAGCTGTCAAGTTGTGGGCATAGAAATTGCTAGAGTCGAGCATAAATGTCAAGAGAGTGTTAGACTTTGAAGCTAAAATGGTTTTGAAATATCGATATTGTAATGATGTCAGACATCGATGTTAAGATGACATCCGTTATTGTTGTGAAACCAAAGTCGCAACCCACCAAAGAGAAACAAAAATGAGAATATTCAATGAATGGGGTATTGAATGTGAACGATTGATTTGGTAATGTGCATAGAAAATAAAAAATTTAGTTTTTATATTTTAAATAAATAAAATTTTAAATAAAAGAAATTTTATTTAAAAACAATTATAAAGTATTTAGAACATGAGTGTCGAACACGTGTATCGAATTTGTATTTAATATTTTTATAATCGAACACGTTCTCAGTATGTCCGACACGTGTCAGGGGAGTGTCGGATGCGTGTCGTGTCAGAAATATATCAAACACTGCACTCCTCTTTGAGTATAAGTGTCGGCACATCATAGGTATCAATGAAGGCATATGCAAGTACCAACCTATAAAGGCATATGCGAGTGCCTAACCTGCTAACTACCTACTAAGTAGGTAGTACCTATAAAGGCATATGCAAGTATGCAAATAAATCTCTTTTCAGTTTGTCCAGGGCTTCCAATCCCTAACTATCCAAAATACAACAATGAACATCATATAACTAAAACAGGTTTTCATTTTAATGGTCCCTACACCAATAACTTGCCGTACAAGCAGCATACTGCAATGGTTAGATTCAGGTTCAACAAAAACCAAAAGTATTACCCCCATGAAAATTTTCTGGAGACAAAATCAAGCAGCCTAAAGAAAAACAATGAAGACAACAACTAATATAAAAAGGAAGCAAGTAGTCAGAACAAATTCAAGGAGCAGTAAGCTTTCTCCAATTCGCAATCTCAATCTAGATTTTAACCAGGAATACTAACGAAGAAAATGATGAAACACAATAAGACTCAGATTCTAGCAATTACCGGTTCCAGTGCCGGTGGGATCTCCTCCTTGGACGACGAAGGACTTGATGATCCGGTGGAAGATGGTGTTGTCGTAGTAGCCCTCAAGGCATAGTTGTACGAAGTTACGGACGGCATTCGGGGCCTCCTTCGGCCATAGTTCAATGTCGATTGGACCCACTGTCGTATTGACCGCCACCTTCCCCTTCGTCGGCGGCTCCAATACATAGACAGAAGACATGGAGATCACTGGAGTGCAGCCAGGATCGCGTGCCGACCTCTTCCGCTTTAGCTACCTTTCCTTTCCGTGGAAAAACTATTACAAGACCATTTCATTTAATTGTACTAAAATATAATTTATTAATTTTACTATAATATAATTTACTATTTAATTTATTAATTTAATTTGTTAATTTTACTCTAGTCAAATTTACTGATTTTATTTTTTAATGGGCAAAATGGCAAGTTGTTTTATTTTTAAACGACTTGCCTGACCAGTCGTAAACAAAGGCAACAACTTGCCTTTGCTAGATTAACCTAGCATGTGATCAACCTATCCCTTCTATCATATGACCAGATCAATCCATCCAAACCTAAAACCCCACCTGTCGCACTTGTGCCCAAAGACCTTTGCCATGTGGATTTGCCCCGTCAAAGCCAGTCGTTGGATTACCAAACGACTATCATCATTTTTAAATTTTCAAATTTTGGTTATGTTTTAACCAAAATAAATTACAACATATATCATTTTAAAAATTTGTCCAAAAAAAAAAAAGTTTGAGCTTATTTGATTGTTTGAACTTTGAAATCATTTAGAATAATTAAAAAAAATTATGTATCATTTGATCACATATAGCCATGCAGTGCACTTTTGTTTCTCTCTTTCAAAGTGTCTTAATTGTAAAGTATTTTAAGAGTTGTAGCATTTTCGGTGTTCAATATGACGAAAAAATACAATATAAAATTTAAGGGAATTTGAAATTTCATGTCTAATTCATCTCACTTTGGATGAATTTAAATGCATTAAAAATACAAAGATTCACCCACTTCCATTGGCCCTATTCACAACCACAACCATCTACCATCATTGGTCACCACTATTGTCCAATGACAATGGTCATCGTCGGGAAGATTTAGATTTAAACTTTGAATGAGATATTGATTCCCAAACGAGCAAATTTAAGACCTACCCAAGAGATCGATTCCCAAACAGGAATATCCAAACTTCGAATGGAGATCGATTCTCAAATAAAGATGAATACCCGAATGGGAGATCGGTTCCCAAACGATCAAATTTAAGACCTAACCGAGAGATCGATTCTCAGACATGAAATTTTACACATTAAATGGGAGATCAATTCCCAAAAAAAGATGGATACCCAAATGAGAGATAATTTCTCAAACGAGCAAATTTAAGAACTAACCGAGGGATGGATTCTCAAAGAGGAAGATTTAAACTTTTAATGGGAGATTGATTCAAGACAAAGATAGATACCCAAATGGGAGATCGATTTCTAAATGAACGAATTTAAGACTCAGCCGAGAGATCAATTCTCGGACAAGAAGATTTAAACTTTGAATAAGAGATCAATTTTCAGGCAAAGATGAAAACCATAATAGGAGATCGATTCTCAAACGAGTAAAATTAAGACCAGACTGAGAGATTTATTCTCAAACATGAAGATTTAAATTTGGAATGGGAGATTGATTCTCAAACAAAGATTAATATTTGAGTGGGAGATCAATTCCAAAATGAGAAAATTTAAGGCATGTCCAAAGATTGATTCTTGGATATGAAGATTTAAACTTTGAATGGGAGATCAATTCTCGAAAAAATGTGGATATCCGAGTGGAAGATTGATTCCAAAATGAGCAAACTTATAACTTAACCAAGGTATCGATTCTCAAACAAGAAAATTTAGACTTTGAATGGGAGATCAATTCCCAAACAAAGATGGATACTCGAGTGGTAGATCGATTCCTAAATGAGGGGATTTAGAACTTGATTGAGAGATCGATTATCAGACAGGGAAATTTAACTTTGAATGGGAGATTGATTTTCAAGCAAAGATGGATGCTCAAGGGGGAGATCAATTCTTATATGACCAAATTTGGGTTGGAAGAAGAATAGTCAAGAGACTACTCGATCTTTAAAAGTTGTCAAATTGCATGTTTCAAGGAGTTTCACAGTTTATAAGTTTTAATAAAGGCTTATGGACCCAATTTTGTTATTTGGACCCAGTTCATTTATATAGTTTTTGTGGCATTGATAATTAAAACTTCAAGATTTACTTTATTACAAAATTCTTATAATACATCAACTATTATAATACTTCATAAGATATTGTACATTGATAGGCATCATGTAACGATCTCTTTTACAATCTATAAACTGATAAGAACCTCCTTAGTAGACTTTCTCCAACATGAACGGACCCTCCCATATAGTTTCAAATTTTTTGTCTATCTTTCAATGAATAAAAATGGGTCTTTGTAGAAGTAACACCAAGTCATCTACTTTAAAAGTTCTCAGACAAACCAATTTATTGTGAGGTTTGATCATTTTATCTTTATACAACTCGAGGTTTTGCTAAGCTTGCATACGCTTCTTCTTCAAACCTTTGAGCTCTCGAATTGAATTTTAGAATTTTGATATGAGTTATTTTGTAATTCACTGTAATCCAGAGTGAAGTTAGATGCACTTCCAAAGGAATAATCGCTTATGCGCCAAAGGCTAAAGCGTATAGCATATATTGAGTTAGAGTTCTAAATTTGGTTCAGCTAGCCCACATTAGCTTCAACGAACTTCTCGTGTCATTGATGTTTGTTATCACTAAGGTTTTCTTTAATATATGAACCAAGATTTTGTTGCGAATCTAGATTTAGGAATTATAATTTTGATGATAACAAATATTTTTGACACTTCTGTTTGTTTTACTATTGCCCTGCCTACTAAAGTTTCAGGTCCACAAGGTCAATTGCAAATCAAGCTATCTCAAGATTGGGTAAGTTAGGACTGAGTCAGTTTGTAAGTATACTTTAAGTGTTTTTATATTTTTTTGAGTCAAATGTAATAAAGTGGGTCCTGATACTAAATAACCTTACACACACATACTCAAGAAAAAAAAATCTGTCTATTTTAGAGTTTTTTTTTTGTTTTTGATCATATTGTCCAGGACGATCCAAAATTATCCAGGATGATCAATTAAAAATAGAAATCATAATTAAGGCATCATGGTTAAGGCAGCCAAAATGAAGCAAATCGTCCTTGATGATATTAGCATCGTCTTGGACGATATGCTCAAATCAGAAAGAATCAGCTGTCAACTCTTTTAGGCATATTATTATTTTTGGACATTATCCAAGACATCATTTTGCATTATAATTATGCATAAATTAGTCTGATGATTAAGAAAAGAAATTAAGGTTTGATTGATCGATCATATCATCCTGGATGATCACAGGATCATCCTAGATGATCACAGGATCGTCCTGGACGATTAGTTAAACAATCCTTAGTTTCTTCCTAGACGACTAGATTTGAAAGATATGTATTCATTTGAACTAATTATATTGGATGATCTAATAATCCTCCCGAACGATCAGTTATTTTTTCATTATCCAACATGAAAAGTCTGGTCAAACAGAGCATTGGTCTGGATGATTCTTGATGTTTTTGAACTAATCATACATGATGATGTACCATCATTTTGGATGATTAGAACAAATAAATCTTCTAATCATCTAACCTCCCCAGATCATCCTAGTTGATTGAGCTAAATTTGTACTGATCGTACAGGACGATCCGTCGATCATCATGGATTATCTTTATCAATTAATTACAATTTAGTATAAATTTGAAGCTCTTCTATATAAGATCTCTTATTTACTCAAGATGTAATCTTTTGCTGTTGTTCTAGCTTAAGAGAGCCAAAAGGAGAGAGAGAGCTTGGGAGAAAGAGAGAGGATCTTGTGAGGGGGGTTTGTGAGGGTTTCATAAAGGTTGCTCCAAGTAAGGATCTGAGTCATCCTCTCTAGTCATTATACCTGATTCCGTGGAGGTTCTAGAGAGGTCTACTTCATTGATTGATCATGATTCTCTGCCTGCTTTAGGAGGAAGCAAAAGGAGTTGGGTTCTCTGCTGCTTCAGGAGGAAGCGAAAGGAGTTGAATTCTCTACCTCACTAGGGTTGGTGGAAAGGGATTTTTGTGTAGGCTTCTCTACCTTGCTATGGGAGCAAAATGAGAGTCACTGAGTTTAGTGCAATACCCAGAGGAGAGGCTTCAGGGAGTGGACATAAGTCAAGTTGACTGAACCACTATAAAATATGGTGTGTTTTTCTTATTATATTTTCAAAATTTATTTTCTAGTGAATTATTATTTGGTTTAGATCGTGAATTTTTTTTTGAGAATTTTTAAAAATTTAATTTATTCCCCCTAGGGGTGTCAATTCGGGTAAGCAATTCGGGTTCGGGTGGAACCTGAATTGACCCGGCTTTAAACGGGTCAACCCAAACTCGACCCATTTATGTAAACGAGTCAGCTTTTTCAACCCAGACCCGACCCACGCGGGTTGCTGGGTTGACACAACCCAACCCGAACTTTTGAAATACTCCTAGCGGCGCAGCAGCAACGGCAGCGGCGGAGCAGCGGGAGCAGTGGCAGACAGCAACGGCAGCACGCATCGCAGGCGGAGCAGCGGTAGGATGTGTTGATACGCACGCGCACAGGATGGGTTTGCCACTTCGGGTTCGCTACTTCGCTGGTTTGGGACACACGAGGGATGGGTTCGCCACTTCACCGCTGTGGAGTCGGGACTCTTGAGTCTTGAAGCACACGCGAGACTCGACCGTCCACCTCTTTGGGACATGCACCGCACAGGCATTGTCGCGTCGATGCGACTTGACAGGCTGACAGTTGATGCTTTGGGCAGAGCACTCAATGCTTCGGGCAGGGCAGGCAGTAGATCGGGCAAAGTTTTTTACATACCTTTTGATTACATGACCACCTTTATTTGATAACATACCTTTTGATTTCTAAAAAATGTACATGTCCACTTTTTTATAATCAATTGACTATCGCATGTGGATGCTTGTTAAAGAAGGTTATTCAGCTCCGTCACGTGAAATTAATGACATAAAAACTAAATTTCCATTTTCTGAATGGACTTTTGATGATAGGGATTTAGCACAACTTAATGCAAATTATTTAAACTATTTTTTTGTGCTTTGAAATTGGAAGATTACAAGTGTGTCTCAACTTGTGCTACTAGTAAAGAAATATGTGATAGATTGTATGTTACTTATAAAGGGATAAATGA